GGAGGAGGAGGAGGAGGAGGAGGAGGAGGAAGAAGCAGTAAGCTAACAGCAATAGTAGAAGAAGAGGAGGAAAACATTTTAATACAATTTAGAAGGTGGAGGATTAAGGGGAGGGGGGGGGGATAAATAAAGAAATAAATGAATAAAACATTTGTTTGAATATTTCGTAGACACTGAACTGCAAGTTCAAAGCAGCCCGTCTCCCAAATGATTTGAATGGGGTCGATTGAGGTGTAAAACACTTAAAATTATAAGAAGCGCATAGACACAATGACTGTAGCCATTCAGTGCTCGAGAAAAGCAAGATAACGGACAGAAACAATAGACGTAAGGAATCAACCATAGGATCTATCAGCAGTGCCGTCTCACCACAAATTAAAAGGATAAAAGAGTAAATTTTGGTTGCTTGTTGGGCTGATTTTTCTTTTGTTTGCTTTGTTTTGTTTGTTTGTTGTTGTGGGTTTTTTGTTGGGGGGGGGGGGTGCGAACAAGAATGATAAACGGACATGCTAAGATGTTGGACTTCAAACAAGACAAGACAGTGGCAATGCTGTTTGTCCAGGCGGTTTTATGCCCAAAAAAAATTAAGAAATCTGAAATTATGCAAACTGAGCCAAAAAAAACCCATGAAATTATGCGATTCTGTTAATTTTATCAAAGGATGATAAAGGAAAATAATAAGAAATTAACAATATAACGATCAAATTTTGCTAAACTATGCGGGGTGCATAAAACCACGGGGACAGTACTGTAAACAAACGAAACAGACAGTGTCATACCCAGTACACACTGCCCATTTGATACATAATTTAATTCATTTGATACAGTCGGGTCCGCCCAAGATCTTCCTTCATGAGGAGGTTTTATGGGGGCGGGGCAAAAGCCACCATTTAATTTGATCAGATCAACAACCCAAAAATGTTTGATTTTGGGGAGTTAATCAAACTGGGTCAAAACGGAAGCGTTTGCCTCTCTCAGAAAGAAAGTTAGGCTCGGTCCCAATTTGCCTGAATTTGATTGGCAGAGTGCACTGGGCATAAGGCACATTGCAAAAGCAACAGCAACAAAAGCAACAGCATCCGTAACAACAATAGAAACACGTGACCTACTGACGTACATGCTTGAGCTGACTGTATCGGGTTTGGGTAGATATTTGAACAGAAGTATTATCTTGCTCAAACTGGTCGTATATCAGGAATCAGGAAAGAAAGACGACCCCAGACCTGACATACAGATGACCCCAGATATGACACACAGATGACTTGAGCAGACACATGGATGATCTTATAACATACACACAAATTATGATTACAGAACTGACACACAGATGGTCCCAGACCTAACATATAGATTATGATCACCCCAGACACACCGATGACTCGAGCAGACACATGGATGACCATATCACATACAAACACACGACTCCAGAACTGACACACAGATGACCCTAGATATGACACACAGATGACCCAAGACCTGAAACACAGATGATTTGAGCAGACACATGGATGACCTTATGATATACACGCCAATTATGACTCCAGAACTGACACACAGAAGGCCCCAGACCTAACATATAGATTTTGATGACCCCAGACCTGACACAGAGATGACCCGAGTAGACACACAGTACATATTACCTCCAGGTTCACACAGGTGGCAAACCGAGGAAAATATACATCTATTTCAGTTTCATAGTCTACGTTGGACATAACTACATACATAACTTTGTTTTTGTGGTCTAGATCGTAGACAATAATCAACACCTTTCCTCAAACGTCATATATGTTTATTTCTAGGTGTCAAAAACAAAGGAACCATCTTTTCTGCTACAAGAAATAGCGGATTCTGAGGCTGAAGTTGTGTACTGTAGCTCATGTGACGGTAGTCCGAAACGAAATAAATACCTTGAAAAGAGTTCGTGAACAAATAATTGCCTTTCGCACTGATATGTACTTTACGGGGAAGAAGGAGGTAGAGAAGAGGAGAGAGAGAGATATGAGGGGAAGGATAAAGACGAAGTGGAGAATGTGGAAGATAAAAAGGTGGAAGACAAAAAGGTAGAGAAGGTGGAGGTGAATGGGAGGTGGAGGAAAAGATAGTGGAGGATGAAGTGGAGGAGAAAAAAGTGTAGTGGAGGAGGTGGAGAGGGACATAGAGGTGATGGTGACAACCAGCCACTGCAAAACGTTGATTTTTTGTTTTGTTTTTTGATAAGTGTTTTACAGCGCTCCCAACTGCATAAGGTCATATGAGCGCGTGGGACACATTGCACTTTTTCAGTTGGTAGGAAATTTTGAATTTTTCCCGGGTGGCGGCTGAAGTCTACTCTTATCGATTTTACACCCCCAAATTGCAAAACTGAATGAGAGATTTATTACCACCACATGATTGGTGATTGCTTGAGCAATGTTACGAAGATACGTCAACTCGTTCAGTTGTTTGTATAATAATAGATAATAATTTAAGGTGTTTAGATTATAAAAGGTTTGTTTGTTCATAAAATCCATCAAATAGAGAGATCCAGAGAGTGGAAGAGTGAGCGCGAGAGTGGTGGGAGCGATAGAGAGAGAGAGGGAGAGAGAGAGAGAGAGAGAGAGAGAGAGAGAGAGAGAGAGAGAGAGAGAGAGAGAGAGAGAGAGAGGAGAGAGAGAGGGGGGAGAGGGAGAGAGAGGGGGAGGGAGGGAGGGAGGAAGAGATAAAGAGAGCAAGAGAGAGAGACAGAGAGAGAAGAGAAAGAGAGAGAGAGAGAGAGAAGAGAGAGAAGAGAGAGAGAGTGAGGCAGGCAGACAGACAGACAGACAGACAGACAGACAGACAGACAGACAGACAGACAGACAGACAGACAGACAGATAGACAGAGGCAGAGGAAAAAAACCCGATTATAAAAGTAAGACGTAGTAACCAGGAGAAGAGACACATTTAATGACCCTTGTACCGAGGGCAAATAAATTAGGAGTAAGCGAGCATGTTTGTTCACAATTATCCCCTGTATTTCCTTTCCTTCTAAATACAATATCTATTTCTGGACAGTGTGAGGCCTGATATGCCCATTAATGAGTCTCTTTCGAGAAGCCTGCGTCAACTACTAATTTTACCTAGATTGACCTGTTTTGAGACACTGAAAGGCAACTTAGATTTCTCCTTTGAAAAAAAAAAATTAGCGTTGGTGACGTCACCGGTGTCTCTTGTGGACGCAGTGCTGATGTGAAAAGGTTTGTTCTGACATGAATAAACGTGGTCTCTGAGAAGATCTTACCTCTGTGTTAGGTCAGTGAGTCAACACATAATGGTAATTGCACACATATCACTTCGCTACCTTGGAATTACAAAGCTCAATATGACATTTTTGGACGTTTTG